AATAATAATAATAATAATAATAATAATAATAATAATAATAGTAGTAGTAGTAATAATAATAACAACAATAATAATGGAAGCGTGCGATGTAAATTTCCTCCTCGACTCTTCGTTTCATCCAAGAGTAAGCAGTCGCCAAAACGTCCCATGAGAAAATGTGATTTGAATTGTCTTTGATGTGTTTGGGTTGGTACCGATTGATTGCTATTGATTGATATCGGAAGGTTCCTTAATACGGAATTCAAGGTTGCGTGCTGTTTCGCCAATATACGTTGGTGCACAATTGTTGTTATCCATCGGAGTTGGCGTTACGTAATCTTCAATCAAGCCTAAGTTACCTAACAACACACATTTTATTACCGTTCCAATAGATGATGTGTCGAACTCTGAATCGTTCCGTTTTTAAGCATACAGGAAGTGACGACAGAACTCGAAAAAGACAAGGGTACTTTTTTCCTTGTTCATGATGAGGGACAATAATATCATGTATGATTTTTGACAGAACAAAGCACGGCCAAGGCTGTCTTATTTGTTAAGTAAAGTGACTAAAAAAGCGTCAGATTTGACAAAATTAAGCAATCTCATGTTTTAGTGCAAGAGAACTTACCTTCTCATGAATTGCATTTAACACTCTATTCTAAGAGATGGATTTTTATAGCAAAATTGAAAATATCGTCCCGACTTTTAAACAATAATCTCCGTTACTTGCCATCGGCGAACTTATGGCTTCTACAAATTATCATGTTAATATTCAATTAGCAAAATTCTTTTCATTTCGGATTGATCCTTTGCAATATTCTTCTTTCAAATGAAACCGATGTAACTTGACTGCTATATCTGTAGCTGTCGATCTTGACGTCGATCGAATTCAAGTGGCTTAGAAGTCCCACACCAGTGTAAAGAATCTTGTATTTCTCGAAGGGAGCGCTTCCAACTTTCCAGGAATGGGGACGGAAACTTACGACATCATTTTCTGCAACTATGTGCTGCACTGGATTCCAGACAAAGAAGAGCTATTCAAGAACATGTTCAGCAGTCTCAAACCAACAGGAAAGATTGCGCTGCAGTACAGTGATCACATGCCGACTTTGTATGATCACGCCTATCGCGAACTGAACCCAGAAAATATCAATCGCATAATAGACATGCATTACTTCGAATCTAGGTCAGGTGTCGAAAAGATGTGCAAAGCTGCTGGCTTTGACATAGTTAAGAGTTACGACGTGAAAAGAAGCGATCACCAGTTTGAAAACGGCGAGAGCATTCGTAAATATTTCTGGGCAACCACACACGGTGTGTTTGATCCTGAGCTCGTCACAGAAGATAGGTTAACAACATTTTGCAATCGGTATTCAATCGAAGGCGGTGCTCCATTCAGGTTTCTGGGCGAGGGTGATTTTCATAGTGCGTTGATTGCAGTCAAGCCAGCTAAACCGGTATTAGCAGGATAACAAATATCCAGTAAAATGCAGAAAAAAATCTGCCAAAACCAGCTAAAACGGAATAGAATTACTCTTTGCTTCTGTTTCCGCGAGAAACTTGCGAAAGGTCGATCAAGGGGTTAAAATAAAATGAGTACATATGTTGAAACTGTATTTTTCTTGATAAAGAACCATGAAACGATGGACTGAAAATAACAGACTAACACTTGATGAGTTGTAATTGTTCAAGAGACTGATCGCCATATAAATACAGTACCTTGTAATCGTTATCACTCACATGTACGTAGGTAAATCATTTGTGTGATGTATGTAACTGGTACACTGTATCATGCAACTATTTTTCATTAAATTTGTGTATAATTAGTCTCTGTGTTTGTGTGAGTTCTTGCATGTCTTTTTCTTATTTTCTCTTTTCATTTGACCCAAATAAATAATTACTTTCAATCACTAAGGATGGCTGAAGCAACCTGAAAGTCCGTAACCTCACGACTAATAATTCTGCGGATATATTACCAAAAAATCTCGCTAATAATAATAATAATAATAATAATACAATGTATCAGGATCGGCTTCGTCGATCTGTAACTAACTAACTAACTTCGTCTGTAACGTCCATGTTAACATAATTGCACCGGGTTGAAATAAAATTACGAACTTTTCCGCGAGAATGTAACAACAGGGATAATTTTGCTAAGACCTTTTTATGGTTCAACTGCAGGTTTAATTTTCAAACAGTTCATTCTGATTTATCGGATGCCGAAACAAAAGAAAGCGATCAGAAATATTGATGCAAAGACCAAACTCTATGATACTCCATGACCGTGATATTCAAACTCCAAAGACAATGATATTCAAATGTTTTGTGTGGATGGATTGACGTAAATTCTAATTAAGTACAAAGGTTATCACCACGTTAACGTCTCCTTGAAGTTGATCCAAGAATAGACACTTTTAAATCAACGCTTACCGCAAACGGAAAGGCATCACGTGACCAGAGACGTCATGTTTGACGTTTTCGACTCGCGTTTTGAACTTCCACGTAAGTCATTTACCTCAAGCTTTATTGCCTTGAATTTCATTTTATATTACGTAAAAATGCTGAAATCGAATGACGTAACCATTTTTCTACAAATTGGTTATAAGTTTTAGGCAAATGAGCAATTACCTAGCCTTTTGTTGTTTGTAGAAAGGCACTAATCCTAAGTGGAAATACAGTATAGCAGCGGCTTAAGTTGAATGTGTGTTTTACATTGCTTTATTTCTTCAGAAAGCTACACATGCTAGAAAACGTGCTATTTCTGTCTATTTTTAGGGCGTAGTTTTGAATTAATGATAATAAAAGACCGTAAGTCCCCTTGAAACACGTCAACCCGCAGTTACGAGTTCCTCGTCAGTTTTGTGTCGTTGGTGATTCAGCACTTTTAACCACACAAAACGCGAAATTTCACTGCAAGTATCTGCATCAGAGGGTGGCAGAATACTGCTTCCACGTGAAACCTGCTTACTGGGGGAACTGTTCTACAGTTCCTTGAATAAGAACCTCAGTCAAATGACACTGCTGCGCGAATACCCTGGTTCCTAAAGATTGTGTGANCCGATTTCTCGTGCTTCCTGATTTTTCAAACCAATGTTCGTTTCTCTTGGAGGTTCAGAAATCGAGATTCCACTGTAAACAAACCCCATCTAAACCGTCTAATGACGCCATGAAATTAAAGACTTAAATCAAACTTTCCTCCCCCGCCCAGTCAAACAATACTTGACAACTGTACCTTGACAAACGGGTGGTCCATCAGCTGATTGGCAGTGTGTCGCGCATACGGATCATGTAGAAAACAGCACAGCAAGAAGTCCTGTCCTTCTTCATTCAGGCTTTCAGGGATAGCAGGCGTGGCTCCTTCACCAACTTTGAACATGATCACAAAGTTGTTGTCACAGTCAGGCCATGGAGGCTGGAATAAATCAAAGGGACAAATCTCTTATTTTTGATAGGTATTTCACGATTTGAGAACATTTTGAGGCAAAAATGTTGCACTTCAGAGTTTGGATAGCTCGACAGAATCGCACGCCTTAAATAACTCTTGCTTCTCGAGAAACAAAAGCGCAACAAAAGCGTGAAACAATCAGGTTACAACATAGCGACAGAAGTTTGGGCTGAATGTCTGTCCGCAATATTTATTACATTTGAGTCGCCGATACATTTTGCAGAAGCGTTGACTATTCGCTGCGCTCACTCGTGAAATATTTTTCAATGTTCGAAGAGAAATTTCGTATCTCCGCGAGGCCAAGCAAAATCCTCTTTATCTTTCCCCTGTAAGTTTTAGACATAATATGTACCTTTCCAGTTGCCATCTCAACCACAACACAGCCAATGCTCCAGATATCTGCGGCTCTGCCATACCCCGCACCTTTGTCCAGTGTTATTACCTCTGGCGCCATGTAAGCTGCAATTAAGTGCCCCAATTGTAAATGTAATCATACGGTTTCGAGTTCAATTTGGAATTAATTTGCACGAGTGAGCTTTTTGAAAAACTCACAAGTGCAAATTAATTCCATATTGAACGAGAAAAACCGTATGATTACTTATTAATAATATAAACATGAAAAAATTTGCGTGGAGGAAGTGCCGGAATACCTTTCTTGAAGCCATTTTTTCTCATTCGAGAAAACGTTTTTCAAAGTTTCCGCACAAAATTTTCCTCATCATTTTACGTAATATCATTGGCTTCGAAAATTTCTTATTGTCTCTCAGCCAATCATAATCCCGAATTACGATGTGTAATTTGCACTGGTGTTACA